GCACCCGGCCCGGCGTTGTGGACCTCGGGCCCCACGATAGCCCCTCTCTTTTCTTTTTTCTTGGGCGGCCGCTTGCCACACGTCGTGGTGAACCGTCAGCTGACTGAAGCAGAAAGCCCCAAGTTGCCCCTGACTTGGAATCTGCCGCCCATTGGACACATTGAAAAGCCTCACCAATGTCCCTTTGGATGCTTCCACAAAGCTTGCAAAAGGCCAGGGGGAGGCTGACAAACGGGCCTTTCCGAACACGATTCCTTTCAAAACGCACGTTACAGTTTCAAGCGTTAATGCTGATTTTTTTTCGTGGGGAGGGAGGGAGGGGGGGTTGTCTTTCTTGTCACGGTTAAGTTAGTTGTGCTGTAAATCGTTCCGCTGAGTTTATTGTTAGATTTTTTTATTTCCAATCCATTGTGCAACTGTAGGCGGTTAACGTTTCGACCCATCAAGTGTTTTTTTCATCAGGAGGAGATGGAGCAGGGCAAAAATGATCACAGGACAACACATCGGAAATGAAAGCACGCAAAGGTCACTTGACAAACATGTTCCCCAAATATTGCGTGCTGGGGCACCCCCCCCCCCCTCAAAATGCGGCTTTGAACACGCCCAAGTCCACGATTCCTCAGCCCGCTTTGGAACAGAGAAGCCTTCTTCGCTTTCCACTCACTCCTCCTGGACAATTGCCTCCCCGCCGCCCGATGGCACCCAGAGCAGAGCAGAGCTGTAAAATCGTATCCGTGTGTTGAACAAAGGCTGTTTTCATCAGCGCATTTCTAGCTTGCTTTGTCATCATTCAGAAACACTTGGGGACATAAAGGAGTTGTCTTTTTGCAAAAGTGGGTCACGCGATGCCCGTGGCCAAGTGGCAGACAGCCCGTTCTTATTAGCATCTATTTATTGATTTATTTCTTGTTATAGAAATACTCCTCCGCGCGACATGACGTTTTGGTCAAGGAAGGAAGGGTGAAAAGAAGGAAGTCCGCTTGCGCAAAAGCAAGTTTGCCGCCGGCGCCAAAGGAACTCCGCGGTTGGCGTTTTCGGCTTTCAAATCGAAACGACTTCTTTAGCCTGCAAGCAAAAACAGGCCGGGGGAACCCAATCGCGTCACGTTTTAGGAAGGACCGCCAACCGCCCTCCATTGGGAATCCAGATTCATTTTGGGAACTTTTCTTTCTGCCGCGAAGGCACTTGACGACGAGTCCTCATCGGCGGTGGCAGGCCACAGACTCTGAAATGGAAAAGAACAAGAAGAGTAAAAAAAAAAAAAAAGGTGTGTTGATGTTGACCCAAACCCGGCTTAGGGTTTCAAGTGACAAACTCAAGCCCAGGGTGAGGTTTTCGTCAAGGGGCAGCGTTTCAAATTGGAGAGCGAGTTTTCGGCGTGGGCCTTTTCAGCGAGCCCGGGGGGGGGGTCACAAAGTCGGGAGGGTTCAAGGCCGGGATCGCAATTTGAAATGAGGCTTTCAAGTCAGGGGCGGCCATGAACACCAACCAGGTCGCGGCGTCAAGCTTTCTTCAGTCTTTCGGGCCGAGAAGATTTGGGTTGCCAGTTGGGATTTCATCCTCGGGGGCCCAAAGTTTCTCCACAACGCGCGAGGAAGGGCCGGCCCACTTGTCAGCGTATCGCTCGGATCATCCTCAAGCGTGCTCAGCTTCCTGTAGGTTTGGTTGTGCGTGCGCAGATGGGATCGGGCTGCCGCTCATTGGCGGGGCGGATCGCTCGGGACGCGTGGCCACGGCCCGCCCTAAAAGCGAGAAACCCCCCGCTCAGCGATTTGTCTTCTCTCCTCGGAAAGAAAGTCTTGAGGTTTTGAATGATGAAGTGCTAGGTTTTAGGCCTCACCCAATCACGGACGGCTTGTCTGGGGAGCAACGCTGCCGCGTCATTTTGGGTCGACGGCTGGTGCAAAACGGCGGTCCCCCGAGATGGACGAAAACGCCAGCATTTCACCGCTTAGCTCCTGTTCCACAAAGGCCATATTCATCAGAATGCCGCCGTGTTTAGACTGGTAACGGCAGTATCCACCGATACTGCCGTTACTTCTTGAGCTGACTTCCCCTTGAAATTGAAAGCCAAACTTGAAATTGGAAGCGTGGCTTCAAAAACGAAGCCAGACTTGAGAGAGCCCAAATCGAAAAGTACTGGTGGCTTGAAAGCCCTTTGAAAGGAGTGTTTGGGAACCCACGTTGGATGAAACTCGGCGGAAAAGCTCATTTCGAGCGCTAATCCTGGCCGGAAAGCCAGCTTGCGTGGAGCCGTCCACCGCGGCTGGTTGACGGCCGACCTCAGAGCGGCTTGAACCTCCCGAGTTGAAAGCCGTTTGGCTTCTGAAAGGCTGCTTCTCGCCCGTCTTTCTTGACTGCCGACCCTTTGGCTTTACTCGTTGTCGCGCTGCGTTTCGGGTGTCTTTCGAGAGGCCTCCGTTTAATCTCGCCGGACGTCATCGGCCAGCCCCTCCGATGCGTCGTCGTGTCGGTCATCCCGCCACTTGTTGGCATGCAACCGCAATCCGGTCCAGGAGAAAGATACTACGGAATAACTCTGTCCGCGCCGCTATTTACTCTCATTGGATCCAAAACGGTGACATGGAAGTGACTCTATTAGCATGAGTTTGACTGCAATAGTGAACCATTTTTATTTCGTGCACAGCTCCCGAGTTTCCTGAACGCAACACACTCGTAGCTGCTCTGCCATTGGCTTACCGAGCATCATCCTGGCCTCCCATTGGCCAAGAGGGACCTCACTCTCGACAGGATGTGTGTAGATACTGTAGCTCGAATGCATCCCATTAGCTGCTCGGAGTAAATTGC